GGTTGCAGGACAGCCGAAGCTCCCTGCCGTTTTCATTCCGGAAGTGACCATAGCCCTAATAGATGGCAAAGAGCATGTCTAGAACTCGCTCCGATTTCGAGCCTGGGTCGTCGTCGCTAAAACGAGCACCACTCTTTGCTGAACCGTTGTAAACTAAACAAATATCCATCCACTGGTACAGTCGTGCGAGGCATTTGTTTTTCCAGATAACACGAGTTTAGTGGCATCACACTCGCGGCGTAACTATTTGAGGACGGTCCATACGAAAACAGATATTAGGTCCTTTGATTGCACCTTTCGTTTCCGATCGCTCATTACTAATGACTACCAATAAGAAAACAACAACAATAACACTACTAGTCAAATCGGGAAACGACTCCGCTGGGGGTTAAAAAAAAACTGCTTCCGTAAACACTCGACAAGGGTAGGTCAGCTAAAAGTAGCCGAAGTGGGAAATCCAGTTCCCTTTAATCTAGCTGGATTGCATCGTACCGGCGTTGCATTGAGACGACAAAGGAGAGACAAAAAACAGATTACTTTTTATGGGATCGGTCGGTGTGACCAAGCGAGCAATTATATCACCCGAACGCACTGCACTGTCTTGCGGGCAATCATTTCCGAATTGCTTCCTGGTATTACCCAACCTAACGCGCCGAGGTCGAGCTTTTTTTTTTTTTTTTGTTTTGTTTAGCGTTACCGGTTGCTCCGACGCGACGCTACAACGCGGAAACGTTTGTAAAAAGCGCCGCAACATGTCCCCCCTCGTGAACTTCGCTTCGCGCTACCTCGGTAGGACTTCACAAAGAAGCACGCGTTCAAGCTCACGCGCATGGTAAGACGTACTTGTGTGTTTTAATTCGTTCTGGCGTAGCGCGCGGCAGCTATGTCCGAAGCCATCTTTTGTTTTTTTGTCTATGCTCGCGCGCCATTTTCTTTCCCCCATTTCCTCCTTGCCCTCCGTTTTTTTTCCCCTTTCCTGTCGGGGTCGACGGCACCGTATCGATCGGCGTCTGTCGCTTGCTCCGCAGCAGCGCGCGCGATGCCGTATCGTCGGTCGACGGAACGGTTTCCTCCTCGCACTCCTCCTCTTTTCCTACCTTCGTACTTTCTTCCGTCGAGGAAGGGGGGGTGATCCTCCTTTCCACTTTGTTGGGGCGGGTTTCCTCCTTTCTCTTGCGCGTTTTCGGGCCCCCCTCCTTTTTTCCGGCTTGCCCTTGAACTTGGGGGGGAAGCCGGCGAGTTCTCTCCCTCACTCCCACTCCGCCGCCGTCTTTTCCTCCTTTCCACGGCGACCACCATAACAAACTGTTTCCTCCTCGTTCTTTTATTTTTGTTTTTCCTGCTTTGCTTTCTGTCCTTCATTTTCGCTCGTTCTCTGGCTCCTCGTTTCTGCTTCCTGTGGTTTCTTTTTCTTCTGCAGCTGTTTTGGTTCGTTGGTTTTCCTCAACGGCTTTTCGGGCGCTCTACTTTTTGGCGCGCGCGCGTCTCTCGGCATTGCCGGTTCGGTTCGTCTTTTGCATCTTTCCTGTTTGTTTGGTGGGGAAGTGTGCGTCCCGGTTTGTCCCTAGGTGGGTGGAGGGACTTGGTAGGGAAAGTAAGGGCTTGTTTTAGGGAATTGTAGGGACGACGGGGTGTGACGCGATGGCTCCGGCCCCGTCGGCAGCAGTTTCCGCGTTCTTTTTTCTTCAGGTTCGCGTTCTTCCTGCTCAGCGAGGGGGTTAAGGGAATCTTTTGTAATCCGTTTTCCGGTGATTGTCGGATTATCCGCTGGGGAGAAGTTTATTCTTAAAACAATATTAATACAAAAAAAAAAAAAAATATCTCAATCTAGCGAAAACGTTGTTTCTGAACGCCTGAACTTCATTCATCTTGAGGACAAAAGTTGTCCTGCCATCTCTTCTCAGCGTGCCGCTTCACCTTTAACTCCGAGCTTTCAACTTCCCTGCCTAGCACGCGCGCTCGTGCAGTGCAAACACTGTTCAGGGCCACGCGCTATGAAACGAAGCTGAGTACTCGTCAGTCTCCCCTAGGATCTGCATTTAGCATGAGGTCTGCATAGTCACTCGTCCGAAAAAGTCAGCGCGGATTATAATATATATATATACACACACACACACACACACACACACACACACACACACACACACACACACACACACACACACACACACACACACACACACACACATATACATACACTTATTTTCTTTTTTGACATGACGTAGCTTTTTGACGGGAAAATCTCGTACGAAAGGCATGTAGTCCCGCCAACAAGAACATGGCGCCACCACGTACGCGCGTGGCCCGCCCGGCGGTTGTCGGTGCTCTCTCGTGACCATGAGGTGCCCCTCGCTCGCGCATCATACCACATCCGTTTTTCGATCGTGGCGCCGCGCATTTTCAAACGGCCCGGCTTCAGCGGTTTGGCCGGCGGTCCTGCGCGCTTGGATGGGCGACCACGTCCGAAGGAGACCTGTCGCGACGTCGCCGTGTGGCGACGGCCTCGCCTGACCTGAGCTCGGGCCGGTCGGTGGCACCGGCACCCGTCGTTCCCTTCTTCAAGGGAAAGGCTCGGGTTCGTCGTGACGATGCGCCGCCGAAACGCCCCGGTGCGCTCCTCTCGGCTCGGTGACGGTGCGCTCACGTTCCCGCTCAGCTACTTCGTAAGTCCGGGAGTAGGGACCGTTCTTTGGAAGGGATTCGTTGCTGTCCTCGTTCGCTCGAAGCAGTTAGGCCCCTTTGACACATGCAACGTAGCGCTCCAGTTGGCGCCGAATTTAGTGTTGCGGTTTCCCGAGATCGAATTGGCAACAGGGAACAGTCACTGGCGGCCATAGCTGAGTGCGTGGCAGCTGAGCGCGTGCTGACGGTGAGCTTCCGCAGTACTTTCGCAGCGCTTATTGCCACACCGTCAAGATTGCCGGTCTTGGCAGTCTGCGAGTGTTTGCTAGTTTGTTAGCTCAGTTGGTAGAGCGCTTCACTTGTAGTGGAGAGGTCCCGGGTTCGATACCCGGACCCGGCGGATTTTTTCGGTCGCTCACCAGTCACCTAGCTGTGTTTGGAGATTTATGTTTGTCCTTTGTCCCTCTTGTTCCCCTTCTCCAGGGATTACTTTCGTCATTCATGTCCAGCTCGCTTGCATCTTTGCATTTAATTGCATTATAATTATAACCTTAAATTGCAAGCTTCACCCTTGTTGGTGTTCGACTGGTGGCGGCTGATAAAACCGGTTTGCTCTACTGACGTCCAACCCCTGGTTAGCTCAGTTGGTAGAGCGCTCCACTTGTAATGGAGAGGTCCCGGGTTCGATACCCGGACCAGGCGGATTTTTTCGGTCGCTCACCAGTCACCTAGCTGTGTTTGGAGATTTATGTTTGTCCTTTGTCCCTCTTGTTCCCCTTCTCCAGGGATTACTTTCGTCATTCTTGTCCAGCTCGCTTGCACCTTTGCATTTAATTGCATTATAATTGTTCCCGGTGAACAGCACACTCAAATATGGTGTCTGGTTAATACTAGAGTAACTGGATCCTGCGAAAGTTGCGCCATTGCCTTCTTTGCTCGCCAGAAGGACACAGATGGATGCTAACATACAAACCAAAACCTCGCAAGGTGACTGGCGGAACCGCATTTCTTGCTATGGCAATCGCCATTTCGGTCCTTCCAAATCTTTGAAGCTTCGAGAGAGCCGTTTCGGACCAGCTGAGCCATGATCGCGATGGAGTGACATCGTTCTGAAAGTGTTCGTCACCATGTATAAGCACCTTTGGCACTGTGCATGCAATCAGCTTATGAATATCGCTCATCTTCACAGATCTCTTACAATGATGTTGTTTTCCATGCGCATTTGATGGTGGATGAGAAACACCTTCCCTGGATCTAGTGACTTGAGTCAACTGTGGGGCACTCTTGGCACAGTTTTCTTCCTGGCTTTATGGATTGGGGAAGTCTCGGGGGTGTTTCTGCGCACACTGTTGAACTTATTTTCTTTTTTCTCGGATGTCACCAAACTTTAATTTGCCCTTGCAAATTCTTGAAGCATGATGACAGTCACCAGGTCAACTGTTCCACATACAGAAAGTGCAAACGGTGCAAGAGGTGGCTTTGTGAAGCAGTCGTGAGTTAACCGCTGTTTTGGTCGTTGCTGTTGTTTTGGTTGCTGTGAGTGCAACGAATGCACTAGTAGAGTATTAAGGCATTTGCGTCGTGGTCCCCGATTTGCCCGAAAATTTCCTAAACCAAACGTTGCTGAAAGTTTCATGATGCCAAATGAATGCTTTGGAGGGTTGCTGCAGTACCCGCTCAGCAGTATGAAACAAATGCTCTGCATCATATTTTTTTTGGACTGCCTGCTTGGCTGGTAAGCCTGCCTGCCACTGATGTCGTGGCACTGAAAAGCACAGGTGCACTTGAATGTTGGTTTTGGCGTCATTTTCATTTGCCGATTTCACTATGACTAGTATACGAAACCTAGCCTTATAACTATGATTACATGTTTTCCGGGTTTGTTTATCATAAAATTCGGACGGTGTTTTCCGGAGTCAATTTTTCCCTGAAAATTTGGAGGCTTATCAAAGTTTAAAGTTGATTTTTTGTAATATTCCCAGTTCTCTGAAATTCAGTTTTCACTGTATTCTCAAGTTTTGAAAATTGAAAAACAAAAACGAACTAAAGTTGGTACCATGACTTATTGTCCTGAAGATACCTTGACAAGCTGAAAGGCAAACCCCTTTTGTCAGTAGTTCGAGATTTCATAGGAAACTGAAGTTGCATCTCCTCAGGACCACTGATCTTACATTCTCATAAAGTTTATTCGTAAAACACAGTTGACATAAAAATTCACCCGCATATGTTCTTCAATTTTTTTTTTTTTTTCAAATTTATATGAAAGCACGGAACTCCACTTATGACACACTGCGTGTTAAAAATGTTTCCCGGTCCCCCTGCAAAATTGTTGTCTACGTTGCTCGTGTGCCGCTGACCGTGGCCGTCCCCTGCCGCAGGTGCAGCTGTCTCTGGGCAGCAGCCCCACGACGACCCTGAGCAGCTCTGCAACGAACCCCGGGTCCTGCTCCCAGCTGGGCTCGCCCACCTCGCTGCCCGATGGATTCGCTGCATCGAGCTCCGTCGGGGACGGGAGCAGCGGGGGCAGCCCCTCGGACGTGGCCCCCTGCGGGGCTGGGGGGGGTGTCCTGGGGGCAGGTGCCCCCTCAGGGGGGGCGGTGGTGGCCCCCCCGGCCTCCTCCTCCTCCTCGTCGCTGCCTCAGGGGCCCCAGTTGAGCACCAAGTGCGGCCTCTGTCACGACACCTTCACCATTCCCAAGGTGGGCGGCCTGGCATTCGGAACACTGTATGCGGCCGATTTTGAAGTGTGGATGACTGTTGGTGTGTTGAAGGGAAGCTGAAGAGGTTCCTGAGAAAGACGTGTTCGGGGTGAATTCTAGAGCGTTTTTATCCCGTGAATCTGCATATTGCGTTAGTTTTCCCCGAAGGTATAACTGAACGCTAAAAACCTTCGACCAGTTGTCGCGTCGTTAAAAGGATCTTTCGGCCGCCAAGCTCTTGTCGCTCATGTGGGCAGAGCGTACAATTGCAAGCTTGCCAGGTATATTCCCCTGCACTGACACCAGTTGTGAAGTCTTTTTCGGACCTTTTTGAAAATAGCAAGAGTGCGCGTGCATAGCTTTGATAGGCACTGAAGTTGCACAAGAGCAGAGATTACGAAATCTCTTTATGACGTAACGCTCCAGGAAGGATGGCTTCAGCGGTACTTTGAAAATAATTTTATGCAGCCTCTGCGCACCAAATTGAAAAATAATCTCGATATTAGTGATCCTGGAGGCCAAATGAAAATGATTTAAGTGTCTTTACTCAAATACAGAACCGCTTGAGCTTCCCTTTAAGGTTCCGAGAGGTCTGTTAAAGGCCGGCGTACAACCTAGGTTTTCTGCAAGGAAGATAATCCTCTCAGTGCTCCCCTCTGGGGGGGCGGGGAGCAGGCGAAAAAGTGGAGAGGATATAGGAGAAAAGGAGGTGGACAATAGTGGCTGGCGCAGGGTGTTTTAAACACAATGAAGTATTTGCACTAGGGGCTTGCTTCCAAGATTTCATTGCACTCAAAGGTAACATTAATAACGGCCCAATGCAAGTTTCATAAAGTCACGCGATAAGCGAGACATTATTGATCTTTGAAATCACTTTTCAACCTTGTACCGGGGTAACCTTCTTTGTGCTGTGCAAATTCACGGAGACCGGACAACTGCAAGGGCTGTTTTGAAGTTTCGACGAACGGGGTAGGAAAAGCGGGAGTGACGAAAAACTTCTATTATATGCAGAATGTAGATACACACTTCAGCTACTTGTTCATTTGATTGCCGCACAGATTTAGGAAGTTGCAGCTACAAGGTGCGCTGTTTTGAAGTTTCGACGAACGGGGTAGGAAAAGCGGGAGTGACGAAAAACTTCTATTATATGCAGAATGTAGATACACACTTCAGCTACTTGTTCATTTGATTGCCGCACAGATTTAGGAAGTTCATATGACATGGCACGAGGTTTTGGGTGCCCTCCCCTAAGAAGGTTGCCGCCCGGTTTCTTGTCATTCCATCAAAAGTTCAACGAGGCCATCGGTCTCAGACATTCTTCACAGAACCTTCATTTTGTGTATAGTAAATCACTTTTCATTGCTCCTGTTTGATTTATCCGTCTGATTGAAACTTTGAAGAAAAAAAAAAAAGGCCCCTGCATGTTGGTAATGACAGGCAAAAGATTGCCCGTCTCGTTCTGTATTTTTTTCCTTTTAAGCATAAATTGCCCGCTAACAACTTCCCTCTTTCAGGTGAAGTCTGAACTTGTAAGCATTAAATTTCTTTAGTGGCTTGCTTTTTACTTTTGAATGCAGACGTTGCAGTGCCTGGTAACCGCTTGCAGTGGTGATCCTTTGAAAGTCTTTCGTTCTTTGTTGATCTGTTTGCTCTAGTTTCAATATTTGTTCAGGAGACAGAGACGAGAAAAGTAGGCAGGCACTTACCCCTGTTGCAGGGTCCGCAGAGAAACAAGTGATGGTGATCGTTTGCGTAATCTGTGAGAAAAATGACTTTCCTCGTAGTGATTGGTTTTGTATATGAAGTATTACAGGTTTGAAAATCTTAGGTATATGAAATGGTGAAATTCATGTTTATTTATTTTATAAAGGTGATGGGGCTTCTTTTATTGCGACGGGCTTTTCTCGTATGGGCGACAGGTTCTCGTAACGTTGACGGGTTTCTCTCGTATGGGTGATGGGTTTCTCTCGTATGGGTGATGGTTTCTTTCTTCTAAGGTTGACGGGTCTCCCTCACAGGTGGCGAGTTTCTTTCATATGGGAAACGGGTCTTCCTGGCATCAATGTATGTTTCTCACGGATGACGAGATTTTCCCGTGGGTTGACGGGTTTCCTTTCTAATGGGCTACGGGTCTGGGGGATCTGCTGAAGGTTCTCTCTCTCCCATCCGGCCTGGCAGATGTGGAGCCTTTTCTGCTGTGTTGGGGAGCTTGCGAGCCTCTTGCCCCTCTCTTCCCTCAGGTGCTGAACTGCCTGCACACGTTCTGCCAGCTGTGCCTGGAGAAAGAGGTGACAGGGGACAAGGTGCGCTGTCCGCAGTGCCAGCAGGACAGCCCCCTGCCCCCCGGGGGCACCGCGGGCTTCCCCTCAGACTACGCCGTCTCCAACATCCTCGAGACGGCTGCGCTCGAGGAGGCCAGCCTCGGGTGCACGGGGTGCAAGGTGCGTACATCCACGCCGCATCTGTGCACTGGATGTTTGCAGCTGCAAAGCTCTCGTATTTGTGGATGGAGTGTGGGAACCTGTATTGTAAAAAGAATGCATGTGGGCACCCAGTCCAGTTGCAATACTTTTTACCTCTTGCTCGGCACTTTCGCGCCTCTCGTCGCGCTTCGTCCCTCTTTCCGATGCGCCGCGCGACCTGTCGGGACGTTTCATTGTACGCGGTGTGTCTGGCACCTTGTTTCTCGTGAAAGGTTGCCCCGTGCTATAGGGTTTGTGGCAGAAGCTCGGTACATTTTGGTACACCGTGAACGTCCGTGTTAAAGGGGACATGGGTCTTTGGAGGCGAAAAATTTCTAGAACTTCATTCTTTTTAAAATGGTGATGTCGACCTCTACATCTGTCTCTTTTCTGAATCTACCAGGTTTCTAATTTTGTGGATGAATATTTTAGCTATAAATCAATTTATAATGTCTATGCAGGCTGAATGCGTGTTGATGTCTACTCTAAAACACAGTTTTCGCAAAACACAATTTTTGGACTTGTTGAAAAGTTTGCTGGAGAGGTATCTCAGCATCTAGGGCAGATAAAAATCTAACTTTTTTTTTAAACATGTAGCTAAATGTGTGAAGCATACAATCTTGAGAGCAGATTTTTTAATATACGTCTAAGTTTTTTAATTGAACTTTTGTTTTAGCCACACATCAAACACTGAACTTCAATGCGTGATAAAATCGCTAATAAAGGTTAATCTTAAAAGTGCTTCCAACATTGTATTTTCTACACTGTAATATCTAGCCATGTTAAAAATGATAATTTGTTAGTAGTTTTTTCCCCATTGTGTTCCTCCAAGAAAAGGCAGGTAAGTTTTAATTATCTTGAGGACCATTCTACTGACTGAGAAAATGACCAGATATTTGGAATCGGCAAAAAAAGCTGGGTTTGGTAATAAAATAAGAAAAAAGCTCCAAGACCAGTGGTCTTGGAGCTTGGCCAGTGGCCGATTTCAATTTCGCCCGACGGTTTATAATTAACTTTGCTCAGATTCTACTCGTTTCATTTTTTGTGCCTACCGTCCTATTTGAAGGAGCCATTGGCAGGGCAAGGAGCAATGTCACGGTTTTGTCAGGCGAGGGGTGTGCCGCGCCCGTGCATTCTCTGCCAACTCAACGACTCGTGAGGCCTCCCGTCCCCACAGGGGTTTCCCCGTTTTCTGCGTTGGTGCAGAACCCACAAACTTTGGGCTCAATCCCCACATCTGCCAGTCGCGATCTAGAGGAGTGTCGCACCGGCGTGTGGCCGTGCAGTCACTAGCGCACGATGCATGGCTAAGATCTCGGGCTAGCAGTGCTACCGCACGGACCGAATGTCTCCACTATGGCGGAGGTACCAAACGCCGGGTAAGACCGACCAAAGGCTGATTCATACGTTTGCGCCGTTTGCATTCGCACCTATCGAAACAATTGGAACGCAGAAAAAATAGTGACTTGTGAATGGTTCGCAAAACTATTCTTCGCATCGCTTGCTACATTGTGTATGGGCAACACTTATTCCCAGCGGCTTCGTCGCTTCGGTTGCTCGAAACAGAACAGACTCAACTCTCTGAAGCGGGCTAAACTTCCTGCTATCTAAACATACACAGAACATAATCCGGAGCACAAGTTCATCTGCTTATTGCACAGGGGTTGCGATGATGTCAGAACGCTGAGCTCTTATTGGCTGTTTCAGAAACAATGGTGGGTAGACCTCCAGGCATCTAGCATTGAGGTCTACCCACTATCCTTTCAATCAAAGCCAGTCGGAGCTCGGCATTGCTCTGACGTCGCCGCAACTTTTGCGCAAGAAGCAGACGATGTGCTGCGCGCGTTACTTGCATAGCGGGTGCTTGGACCCCACCCTTCCGCCTCACGGGCTGCGATCGAGGGAAACCGAGCTCGAGCGATCGTGGTAGAGACTGCTAGGTTTTCGTGCGCCTCAAACACTCGGCGACACGCGTGGAGGGTGTTTAGACCTCGGCCTCTTATTCCGCGGCTCGATTCTAGGGGAAGGAGTCCAGCGCGGTGGCCCGGTGCTTTGACTGCGCCAACTTCCTGTGCCCCAACTGCGTTATGGCGCACCAGTTCATGCACTGCTTCGAGGGCCACCGGGTGCTGACCCTCGGGGAGCTGCAGAGTGCCCGGGACGGCCTGAGGGCGCCACAGGACAAGCCCGTGGCCTGCCTCAGGCACCGCACCGAGGCCCTGCGCTACTTTTGCCGCTCCTGCGACACCCCCGTGTGCAAGGAGTGCACCCTGCTCGACCACCCCAAGGTGCCTCCACCCTTTCTCCCTCCTTGCAGAGGCGGGCAAGTCTGTGCGTTTCGCTTTCTGGAACTTTTTGGAGGTCGTCTTTTATTTCTCTAAGCTTTTGTTTAATAACTAACCTTTAAGGAAAAAAAACAAAAAACATTTGCTCAGAATTTTTCAATTTGCGGGCGAAACCGAAACTGTACTTGTGTGGGACGACGACGATGGCATTTGTACCAGACTAGTGTGTGCTCAGAGTTTGCTGGATTCGGAGTGCATACTACTTCAGTAGAACCGCTGTCATCATACCACTGGGGTACGGTTTCGGCTTCACCCACAAATCAAAAAGTTTGTATTTTAATGTAAATATTGGGCAAAAAAAAATATTTTTTTTTTAAACAAACACTAACTGAAGTTATTTTGTCTGGTGAAAAAAAAAAAAATATATTTTTTTAGGCTTAGTGTTTTTTTAGGCTGCAAAAGGACTCTGCGTTCGCCGCGGACACGACGAAGGGGCTATCTGCGGAAAACGCCACTAGCGCTTGCCAAGTACGTCTGCTTTGCAAACGCTAGTGGCGCACCCGTGAATTGTCTTGCCGTCGTGTCCGCGGCGAACGCAGTCAAAAACTGCCTGCGAAGCACGTCTGCAGACGGTTTTTGTGCGACCAACGTGACGGGGCGTTCGCAGAAGGAAGGAACGACTGACCTCCGACAACGTCTGCAGACTACCTTTTATACAATATGTTAGCAGTGTGACCGGCACTTAAGTTCTGCCATGGCGCAACGAATGCGTCTCGGACTGAATTGTTCACTGCGTCTCCAAAGGTGGTCCCTAGATTTCTGCTCGTCACCGCTGCGCAAGTGTCGCGTTCTCGGCGGCCGCTATCCCGGCGGTATGGCGGCGGCGACGCTGTACGTGGCAGACGTGTTCTGCCACGAGTCGCTCTGGTTTGACAGACCACGGAAGCTTCCGCAATCAAAAACGTTGCCTCCTTTTTTTTTTTTCCGGGACATTTACGTTTTATTGTTACGGTCGTGATGTCCAGCAGCACGATGCTCCGGCCGGTGTCTTCAACACCGTTTGTCGCCACTTTGGGACCGCCAAAGATGCTGGGCCGGTATGCAGTAGGCTTGCAATGATTCAAACTCTGATGCTTCGCACTTCGGTTAGTTTGTACGGATTTCAAAGTCTTAGTCGTCCCGCTGCGTCTTTAACATGTACGTAAGCCGCTCGATTTGAAGAGCATTTTTGCGTAAATCGTGCTTTTTGTTCTCACGGCCCCGTTGAGCGCTCCTCCTTTTGAGTGCCGGTGCACTGCAGGGAGGCTTTTGAGGGATAAATAAACTTGCATTGTATGTTTTAAACATGTTTCACATATGGCATGCCTGCTTATTTATGATCTGTAGGCCTATGTAGAGGAAATCGTCGCATATCTGCTTTGTGTGCGATTTCCGGGAGTTTGAAATAACAAGTCTACTGTAGCTTGCTAAACACAGCAGTCGGGGACGCGTTCCAGGTACTGTAATGGAACCAACATTAAAATTTGCTATGTGGCAGAGGCATTGGCTGTAACCGCTGAGAAAGCACACTGCTGCCATTTATCTATCGGAAATACCATTGCATTTAAAAAATTTGTACTCAACCAAACTTTCCCTCTGCTGACTATCGTAACATCCCAAGAGATGCCCCGCCTTCAAAAGACGACCCACCCCCATTTTTGCGGAAAACAAACAGCACAAGGACAAGGACAGAGTAGAAGGCGGTAGACACACACAGCGCTGTATGAATGACCAACTAGCCCAATCGTCAACACTACTGAACCCCATTTTTGGCCAGATTTGCTATTTTTTTTTTTTCAAAAGCACCAAAAGATAGTTTGCTTCTAGTAATTGCTGGGCCCCAGCCTAAGGTGACCTCGGCAGAAATAACATCGCTTAGCCGCGGCGGGAGACGAGCAAATGTTGCCGACCGGGAAGGACGATTGTCTTCTGTTCGTTGCTCTTCCCCGGGATCGCATGTCTCGTGAGTCACGAAATCTAAAACTAGGACTTTTTTCAACTCCTTTTGATCACACACTGTAAGTTAGCCTGCTCTTTGTTTTCACCCGACTTGCTTTCGATTTTAGGTGGGCCGTCTCTTGGGATATTACAGTACATGCCAACACACCGTTTACAAACAAGCCCGTGCTTGCCCACGCTGGGCGTCGGGCACTGCACGCGCGCAGAAACCAGATTCACATTGGACGAAGGGTCGGTGCAACGTGCGGTGTCGATGGCTGTGCCACGGCACCGGCGCGACGTAGGAAAGTCAAGTTGGCATCCGAAAAGTGTGGTGGCGACGAAGCGTATCTTGAGTGGCCTTTCTCGTGCGCAGGCCCTGCACGACCTGGAGCCTCTGTGTGAGGCGGCGCCCCGTCACGCGGAGGGCTTGTCGCACCTGGTGGAGGACGGCCGGGTGCGCTCCCACGACCTCAGGGGCGCCCTCAAGACCCTGGAGCAGGTGTCCGGGCGGCTGCAGACCCAGTACCAGCGGGCCCAGGGGGAGGTGGGCGAGACCTTCCACTTCTACCGCTCCATGCTCGAGGAGCGCCGCCAGGAGACCCTGCGCGAGCTCGAGAACATCTACAACGCCAAGATGGTCTCCCTTGGGCTGCTCGGACAGAAGGTGCGCTGCGGGTCCTCCCCTGGCTTTTTCCGTTTAAAGACCGGCGACCAGTTTGCACTTTCCACTTTCCCTCCCTTCCTCCTCTCCCCCTTCTACCCTGTTCACCGTTACCTGTTTCCTCCTCTCCCAGGGTGAGGAGGATCTTCAGCCTTGCAGAGTCTCGAGTTTGGTTGTCAGCCTTTAACTGAAGCAATGTGCTTCTGTTCTGCAGGGCCTTTTTTTCTGCAGGTTCTTTCTATTCTATCTCCCCCCCAAGTATGTCTAATAAGTACTTGAACTGAAGTACAAAGTAAATGGGGTTATGTACTTCAAGTAAAGCAGGAAGTACACCGGGCACGACATACTTGAAGTAAAGTACTATAATTACAGTGTACAGTCGCCGACCGATTATCCGGACTTCGCTGGGACCGAAGAAACGTCCGAATAATAGAGCAGATTGAAAAACTTGGCTTTATCACTTCCAAGTGGCCTTAAAAAAGCCGTAAATAGTGCCTTGTTTCAGGTTACGCCTCCATTTCCGTTTGGCAACTCTCTGTTAGCTTGAGTATCGCTGCCTTCTTTTCTAGCGTTATGGTTGAGTAGCAGAAGAACAGATGGGGCCATGACGTCCAAGCCAGCGTTGTCCGAACGAGATCAGAGGCACAAATCCACGAGCGCAAAAAGGCGACTAGCGACGTGAAGGAACGAAAAACAAAGCGAAATGACGACGATGATGATGACAGGCAGCTAAATGGGGAAAAAAAGGGCTAGCATAGCATCACCTAGCGGTAGGACTCGGGAGTGCTCAAGCAGCGCTGCCAAACCAAGCCAATTCATTGGCAACCAACATAGAATTCAAAATGGCCGCTACTCTATGGTGTTTTCCACTCATCGCTCGCAACGATTTGGTCCGAATAATCAAACTTTCGGACTTCAAGCTGTCCGAAACACTGGTCGTGAATATACACTATTTCTATGGGGTAAGTCACGGTTCCGCCTTTAGGTCCGAGATATTGAACAAGTCTGAATTATCGGAGTCGAAAAAACGGACGGCGACTGTACTTTCAAAGTAAAGTACAAGTACTTTTTTTTAACATGAACTTAGGTGATGCTTCAGTTATTTTCGGAAATGGCGGCGAACATTGGGACAAAGATTGCTTCAGAGTTGACGAAGCATCATTTTGTGACAAACTTAACAAGACCGAATTTGGGGAATGTACTTTGAACTCGGTGGTTGTACTTTCCTTGGTAAGTACCAGAACAAAGTACTTTAAATAAAGTAGTGTGTACTCGGAGAGTGTACTTCAAGTAAAGTACAAGTATTCTAAACCTCCTTGAAGCAGTACTTAATGCACGATGTACTTAAAGTACTTGTCAACACTGTCCTCAACACATCCCCATGGTGACTCCAGTGCCCTCTCCCAGATTTTCCTACACAAAGTACACTCCGTGCGCAAACGAGCCATCTCCGGTTTTCTTGTTTTTTCCTCATTATTGAAGTATTGTCGTCGAAACAGTTAAAAAGGTATGGAAAGGGCCCAGTTGGGGTCTTAACCTAAGTGATAATTTTTTTATGGCCGGCAGCACCCTTTCAATGATGAAAAATGTGAAAAAAGTGCTGGAGTCGCGTCTGTGCAAACGGTGTTGCGCAGTGTGCGCAAACCTGTGGGATAGAGAGGTGCTTTGTTACTTGCATTACACCGAAGACAACACCAAGGCTCGCTTCGGGCGGGGCAATTTTCCCTGCAATTTCGGGGCGTCGCTAGCGAGTTGTTCTCTACAATCCCCTAGATCCATGCCCTGCGACGTGAATTGCTCGGATAGTCAGACTCGAAATGGGCTGGCAATTCCAACAACTCGGATACTTATGATGCAGCATTAGCCGATCTGAGACATTATTTTTGCGTGACCCCTTTTGTGGTGGTGGTGGTGATGATAACAGGACAGGAGGTTAAACTTGTTTTTGGTTTGAAATAAATCATTTTCACTGCAAAATTGTTTCAGGGAGGGGAAATAGTGTTCTCGACGCAATCGAATACTATAGAAACGCCTTTCAAATCTGAAACTTTGCATCTGAATAGCGCAATACATTTAATTATTTAATAATTATGATGATAACAAAGCACAAAAACTCGAGCTTCAGGAGCTGTTGCGTGTGAATGCGGGAGGCCCATGTTGCTTCGGACTGCTGTTCAAACATAACTTCTCACTGTGCTGGAACAATATAAATCTTTGCTGCCAAGTACTTGGTAGGCCTGTTTGTATCCGCAATATGTCGGTATTGTCAGTTACAAGTGCACGTCAACTTCACGTCACTGTGTCCATAAGTTCGCAGCATACCGTCAGCCTTTACTTTAAAACAGGGACTTGGACCGTAACCGTAACAAAAAACCGTTTAGGAACAAAAAATTTTCAGTAGCCGTAACAAAACCGTTAGTTAAAATTCATAAAAACCGTAACTGTAAATTATTTACCGGTAACTTGAAGTGTCGTGGCCATTTGACAGAGCTACCGTCAGTGAGTGGTGCATCTGGTAATATGTTTCCGCTCAATCTAAATTTAGGATTAAGAATACTTAGTTGGAATCAGTGGTCGAGCTTATAATTAAAAGTTTGAAAATTCGTCAAACCAGTTGAACCTTGAAAAAAATTCGGCTCAACGAAAGTTTGTGACATCCTTAGCTTTAACATATCTGTAGGAGAAGCTCTGCCTTCAAACCCTGTTGAAAAATGGCACTACTATACAAATGCAGAATATTAACAGGGAACTGTATCAACGAAGAACTGTAACCGAAACATTATATTTTTCGGTCCGAGTCTGTGCTTTCAGGGAATGCACAACGGTAAAATGCCCATTTTTTCCCCAATATGAGCAATATGGCGAAGTTTGGTAAAACATTTTCGATGCCTCTGCAGTGCTCCACCAGAACGAAGTAAAGCTACGCTGTACTTTGTTCTGGTGGTATAGTACCTGATAAAATTAATTCACAGGGCTGAGGCTTTGCATGCCCTCCTTCTATATGGCTACAAGCCCTACCTGCAAATTTCACGCTGATTGAGTGACCGGTTCTGAAGTAGACAATTTTTCCTAATAAAGGAACACACTCTCGATAGCTTTATACTGAAACAATAGATTCTTTAAGGTGGGATTTGCTGTCAAAAACTGAACTGAGAAAACCCCGTTTAAACTTTAAACTCCACTTTTTTTTTTTTTTAACTTTTTTTGTTAGAGAAGTTGAGCACCGGCCAATCGTCACTGCAGTGACTGCTCGAACCCCAAAGTTCGACGTGTGGCTGCCCGCGCTTCTGCCAGGAACCGTCGTAGCCGACGCAGACGTCGAGCAAGTTGTCTGCGTTGTTCATCACGTCGCTTGCTGCTGCCTTGGATGCTTTGTGCATCTTCTCTGCAGTCTTCTAACAGATCTTTAGATGCATCGGTGATGGAGCATTCGTGCCCCCGAGATGGTTCTTCAGCTTCAAGAAGCTGATATTGCAATCCTTTCCGACGACACAAAGGTGCGCGGGAAGCTCGCTCCGCTGGGTCTCCCCGACAGTGTGACGTCGTCGAGACGTCCCCGCAAGCTCTGGACACGACAACAAACTGAAGGTTGGCTTCAACGCCACTTCGTTTCGAGTCCAGTTCACTTTCACGGCAGTTGGGACACAGCAAGGTGCTTGGCAATGTCTTCGTGGCAGACGCATACGCCAAACCATGCCCGTCGAGCACCGCGTCGTGAACGTTGTCGACTGGTTTTGGCAAGCCGGCAGATAGCTCCAAAAGCGCAATCCTCCGCTCGAAGGTCGTCAACTCATCCACTTCCTTCGATACCACCGTGCAGGGGGCACCTGTGAAAGCAGGTGTTCGGAGAGTGGCGTCTCCACGTACTCCGCGCCATGCGGGTTTGCCCACCCACATCTGGCTGTGCGTGGCTTTTTCGTGTCCGGGGAAAAGGGCATCCTGGTGGTTGAGCTGAGCCCGGGGTAGGCTTGGACCCTTCGGGGCCCCCCGGGTGAGGCAATACACCACTTCGGCCCCCACTTCTCGTAGACGGGAGTCCTGGTAAGGCTCGGCCAGGATGATTCAGTCTAGTCGCCACTTCTACTATCCCCTCCGATCTTTCGCTTTTACCTTGCCTGTTTCTTTCACTTCCTTCTCATTTCTTTTGCTCCTTTTTCACCCCTCTTTGGTGGCAAGGGCTAACCTTGGGTGGCAATAGACCTCTGTCTTGACCCACACTTGGGTATAGTTTCCCGGCAGCACTGTTAGTGTAACGTCTCCAGCCAAGCCCTTCTTGTTATGGTGCGTTACCTAACCCCTTGTTGGGCTCGGTGGTGGGCGGTGTACCGCGGATTCTGAGCACTCTTTGGGCCCTCTTATGGCGCCCCACTCCTCCAAACCCCGTTCAGGGCACGCCCTTAAAAGGCGCTGCCCTGAACAAAAAACCATTGACAAAGTATGTGAAATAGAAACATTTATACTAAGTTTTTCATTGTTCATTCGCTGAATGAACAAAAACCTTTTTCAAAGCTCATCTTTTATTGTAGCGAAGGTGCTAGAAAACCTTGTAGGGTTTTCGTGCAGGGCTAAAAAACAGCACACTGGAGACCTTCTTGTGGAAGTGAACACAAAAAAACAAAGTGACGCACTCCTTAAACTGACTACCATCGTTGACGTGAAGGTGTCGGTGAGCCCTCATCGCACACTAAATACTGTCCGTGAAGTCCTCTCCGAGGACGACTTCCTGCACACTAGTGAGGAAGAACTCCTCGAGGGACTCCAAGGTGCCGGTGTCGTCGCCGTAAAACGCATTATGTTCAGGAAAGACGGTGAACAAATCCCTTCGAGACATGTTATTCTGACTTTTGAAAGGCATACTCTCTCCGAGACAATCAAGGCAGGTTATTTGAACTGCCGCATCCGCCCGTACGTCCCCAACCTCCAGCGGTGCTTCCGTTGCCAGCGTTTTGGTCATGGAACACGCAGCTGTCGAGGGAAGGAGACGTGTGCGAAGTGCGGTAGTC